TCCAGCTCCAGCCGAATGCCGGGCGCTGTGGCCCCGGCTGCAGTTGGGGTGCGGTCCAGCCTCCCCCTTGCTGGGCACAGAGGAAAGTCTGAGTCCCCACCCCACCCTGAGGGCTGGGCTTGACCACGATCTCGAATCCAGTGTCCTGGGGGAGCCACGGCCCGCTCTGACCGTGGAGGTGTCCGGCACTGTGGTCACCAAGCCCACGGGCGTTGCCACGGTAATCCACTGTCTCCCAGTCTCCCTCCCCCTCCCGTCTGCCCGCTCCAGAGCCCCCTGACCTACCTCTCCGTGGGCCCCTGCTGAGGACTCCGGCCGGAGAACAGACTGGCCAGCTGGCCCAGGGGCATGGAGGGCCTGCCGGGCTGCGTGGCCACGTGGGGCCGAAGGGGTATTTTTAGCCTCTGTCTGCATCGGGCGGGAGGGCGGGGGCGCGGGCGGTGGGGGAGGAGATTGGTGTGGTCTCCTCCGGGGCTGTCCACTCCGAAAGCCCAAACGAGCCGCATCGCGGCAGGAGGGCCGAGGCCTCTGGGACCCGGGGCCGGGACAGAGCTGGACGTTCCAGCAGGGGGTGAGTCTGGGCTTCACCCCTCCCCGTGGGCTGACGGAGGGGCGCCGCTCCCTCCCCCTTCCTCGTCTGGGAGATGGGACGGGGAGTCTGTGCTGGGAATTCGGGGGCACCAGCTCAGCTGACGGCACTCGCTTCTCCCCGGTTACTGACGGGCATCTACGTGCCTCTTGTTCTCGGCCACGTGGGACGAGTGCTGACCACAAACACAGGCAGGTGGTCAGCAGAGGCTTCCACACGGGGTCCCCGTTGGCGAGGGCTGAGGAGCACCCCGAGTCCCCTCCAGGCTGGTGGCAGGATGCGGCACCCTGAGACCTTGACCCCAGGGTATTCTGGCCGTGGCCTCGGGCTGCCGTGGAGTCTGTGTTAGTGCGAGAGCCGAAGAGGGCTGAGGAATGGGTCGTCTGAAATCCAGCAGCAGGGCCTCCCGGCAGTGCTGGGCACACGTCACCGGGCCCTCGCGTCCGAGGCCACCACGTTCTGCGCTGGGGCACCGAGAGGCGTCTCCGAAATCTCAGAGCAAAGCTTCTGAGAGGAGCCCCCTGGGGGGGGCAGGTGGGAGCTTCCACCCGTCAGCCCCCCTTCCTTCCCAAAGGCCTTACTGACACCCTCTTCCAGGTGCCTGGGGCCGTACCAGTGGGGCCAAGTCCGACAGGCAGGGCCTCCCAATGTCCACTAGGGACTGGCTGATGCTCTTTTTAAAAAATATGCTTTTATTGATGAGAGAGAGAGAGAGAGAGAGAAACATCAATGAGAAACATCGATGGGCTATCTCCCACACTGGGGATCAAGACCGAAATCTAGGAATGTGCTCTGACCAGGAACTGAACTGGCGACCACTTGGTTTGTGGGTCGACACCCAACCACCGAGCCACACCAGGCAGGCTGGCTGATGCTCTTACAGTGCTGAGGGGCCTGAATGGACCCCAGGGTGACAGCCCTCATGCCTGGCAATGTTAGGTAATTTCTCAAGAGGAGCAGGGCATGACAGCTTGGGCCCGGCTGCTGGCCCTGCTCCCTGCTGAGGAGATGGCAGTGAGCTCTCAGGATGCATGCATTCCAGTGGGGGGCACAGCTGCTCCACAAGGACTGCGGTGAGTGATTGCGAATCACATGTTCACTGGGCGCTTCCAGACCGCACACTCACAGGTCTTCTGGATCTATGCTGCCCTCCTCAGCCCAGCCCCGCCCAGCCCAGCCCTAGGCCCTGGACAGTCTCAGGACTCCCTGAGCCTTGGGCATTAGCATGGAAGGGAAGGGTGGTGGATTGGGAACAGAGGACTGTGTGTGCCTGCACCACCCCTCACCTCCCCCCATTTGCAGGCAGATCCCCAGGGTTGACGCTGGAGGAAGCGAGGACAGGGTTTCTGACGAGACGCTGCTGTCACCAGAGCGCCCAGCGTGGGCACCGCACGGAGGCCTTCCGGGGACACGGGGATCGGAGGCCCAGTGCCTTGAATGACAGGTCGGTTTGGGAAACTCAATACCAGGGCTCAAGCCGGATCTCCATCCACAGATCGCCGCTCGGGGGTGCAGTTTTGTAAAGTGCGCTGCTGGTTTCTTTCTATGACAAAAGCCACACGTGCTCAGTGCGGAGATTTTGGAAAACACAGAAAAGTGTAAAGCAGAAAACGCAGCCAGTAAGACAAACCCGTTCACACAGTGGTTAGAGCACATGTGTCAAACACAAGGCCCGCGGGCCAAATCCATCCCACCAGGCCTTGCAATGTGGCCCGCACCGCGCTGTCATCACTGCACTCCGCTGCGTTTCCATCACAATGACAGTTTATGACTGTTCAGTAAACCATTCGGCCCTCGATTTAGGCTGGATTTTAGATTTTGGCCCCTTCTCTGATTGAGTTTGACACCCCTAGGTTAGAGGGCCTGCTGGGAGGCGCTGGTCCTGCTTTGTCACTTACTCACATCTGAGCACGGCTGGTGTGCGTGGTGTCTGGAGAGCATGACTTTAATCTCACCCTAACAGGGATCCGCCGCAGCTCCGGACGTTGGAGGCGCTGCCCAGTCACCTCTATGACAGACACTCGATTGGGAGTGGCTCTGGACAAGGATAAGGAATATAGTGCCACTCCGATTATGTCCCCAGGTAGATGCGGAAAGCGAAATCACCACGTTAAAGTGCAGTCACCTTGCAGCCCAGAGTCGTCCAGCTCTGGCGAGTGACGCACTGTCTCTGTGGGGAGGTGTCGCTGTCCCTGTACTTGCCTGGCGCCTGCACGCCCAGCCCTCCCAGCCCCTCTGCCGGTGTCTGGTGGCCTTACTTGCTCAGGGTATCTTATTCCACCTGGGATTTATTTGGGGCATGGGGCCATGAGGTCCTCTCCCTTAATTCGTTGACAATGTCCTTGAGACTATTATGGACAATTCCTTCCTCCCTGAGATCGTGCTGTATGTGGCATATGTGTCTCAGGGCAGAGCTCTCTGGGGGTGGCGTCTCACCTTTCTGGCCTGAGGATCCGAGTGACCGTTTTCTGGGATCAGAACCAGCTGGTTGGATGGACGATTGCTCCACAACCATGATCTCTTCCCATCTGAAAAGTTCTCGTCTGTTGTATGTGTTTGCTGCTGCAGCGTAACAAATGGCCCCACCGTCTAGGGTCTGACAACAGCAAACATGAATGATCTCTCCCAGTTTCTGGGTGGCTCTTCTTCAGGATCTCTTCACTGGCACCAAGGAGGCTCCACAGGCTGGCCTGGGCAGGTGGCCTCTGCTCCTCACACATCGGCCCCTGCGCAGGGCCGTGCCCAGCACGGCCGCGGCGTCCCCGGAGATGGGAGCAGCGAAGGTGGGAGGCGTGGTACCTGCTTGATACCAAGACTTGGAAGATCACTTCTGTCCTGACCAGGAATCGAACTGTGACCTCCTGGTCCACAGGTTGGTGTTCAACCACCAAGCCAGGCTAGCGGGACCCTTGGTTGATTCTCCCATGTGGCCTGGCCAGGGACCAAGTCTACCACCTCCTTGGTGTATTAGGATGACGCACTCACCAACCGAGCTACCCGGCCAGGGCAGCTGGGCCTTCTTGGGAGAGCACAGGGCTCCCCTCTCTCCAGTGCATTTCTAACTCGTCGGGAAGCCCTGGGGTTCACCTTGTTCCGGGCCTGGTCACCTCACTGAAGTCTGCCGTGTGGGCAGCGGCTCTGGGGTCCTCGGACGGGCCTGACGGGCCAGCGTCTACTGCAGGGGACCCTGCTCCCCACACAAGAGCTGCTAGTGGGCAGGGGTTCAGGCTGCTGAGCATCAGAATCACCTGGAGCGTCGTGAAAAGTACCAGCTCTCCCAGCACCGGCCAAGCCGAGGGGCTCAGAAGGGGTGGGGCTGCCCAGAACCCCAAGTTTATATAAGATCCCTCAGGAAGCAGGGTGTCTCCTGAGGTGCTTTCTTCCTCCGTCCAGGCCTCAAACCTGGGTGTGAGCGTCCACCTCGCCCCTCTCCTGGCAGCCCACCCCGACCCCATGTCCTCCCAGGACCCAGGCTGCTTGGGAGGCACCCCCTGCTGGCCTTGGTCCAAACCCCCTGCTGGGAAACTCCGGTCCAGAGGCTGAGGGACTCGCCCCTGGCCACAGTGAATGTGCAGGGATGTCCCATATGGTGTCCTGGCCCCAGTGCTCTTCTGAGCACCCCAGCCAGAAGACCACCTCTGAGGCCAGGCCTTGTCCACCTCTCCCCCATCCTGCCCCCCACTGTTGCCCGGCCCTTAGAACAAGATCCTGAAGGCAGCACAGGGATGGAGACATCGAATGCCCACTTCTTCTGACGCTCCCGCCCCCCCCCCCCAACCCCCGGCCCCGGGGCTCACGCAGCCCAGGCAGCTCCAGTCTGGCTCCATCAGTCACGCTTTGGGGCCAAGAGCTGGGGAACAGCGTGGGGGTGTCTGTGGGAGCCAGGGTGGGCGCTCTGCTCACTGGAACCTGCTCCTTGAATAATGACTGCAGGTGGGCCGGTGTGGCTGTGGTCTCAGGACAGAGGCCCCCATACCGGACCTCAGTCTGCCCTGACCATGACCCTGGGAGGGCAGGCCTGCGCTGCACCCCGCTTACAGACGAGGAAGTGGAGGCTCTGCGGGGCTGAGGACGGTGACGCTGAGGTGAGGACTCGGTCTCGGTGCCCACCCAGTGCCGGGACCCGCTCTGGGCACAGGCAGCTCTCCCCGGGGCAGCAAGCGCAGCGTGAAGACTGGCCAGGAACGGAGTCTTTATTTAGCAAATTCACGCCCTCCTCTCCGGGCCTGGCAGCCTTGGCCGCCCCACACTCCCGACTCTACAGCTCCCACGTGTCTCCCCGTGTGGGACCCCGGGTGGGCTGGCCCATCCCACTCGTCTGCTGCCCTTGTGGCCACAGGGAGGTGGCAGCCAGAGGAAGTTCCTGAGGCCCCGCCCCCACACTGCCTGTCTCAGCTGTCCCTGCGGCAGGGCTGTCAAACTGAGGGCAGGAGCCCCACAGGGACCCGGATCCCCTGTAATCCCGGGGTGGGCCCCTGTCAGCGGTGGCAGTGGGCGAGCAGGATGCACCGGTGTGAAGCACCTCCCTGACCCGGAGGATTCGGAGGGCAGTTCTGTCTGACAGGAGGCCTCTGCCACAGACTCCAGTTCCCTCAGATAGGGAAACAGAGGCCAGGGGCCGTGGAGGGACAGGCCTGGGGCCCGCAGGAGAAACCGAGGCAGAACCCCTGCAGGGCACACAGGTCTGGACCACCAGCCCCAGAGAAACTGAGGGGCAGGACCCCCAGGCACCGGGAGGAGGACCCACGGAAAGCACGGGCTGGCACCCACATTGCCAGGGGACAGTCGGGCAGAGGGGCCTGCAGCTGGGACAGCCCTTTGTCAACTTCAGGGCCGGGGGAGAGTTGAGAGAGGGGCTCCTTGGACTGAGGGGTGAGAAGGATTCTGAGGCTGAGCCCAGAGCTGAGGAGGAAGCTCTGTCAAGGGCGGGACCGGAGGGCACTAGCACGCCGAGTGTCTGCCCGCCTGGCCGGGGGCTCCCCCGGCCACCAGGTGGATGCAAAAGGACAAGAGGAGAGAGAACCACCCCCAAGGCCCCTCCGGAAGGGGCTGCCCGCCGCCTCAGTCTCCGAAGCTGAACATCTCAGCCTCTTTCTCCTTCCAGAAGGCGAAGCTGCGGTCGATGTAGCCACAGATGTCCTCGCTGTTGAAGCTGCCCCCCGGGGAGCCGGACCCCAGCGGCTGAGCTGCGGGCTCGGGGCCGCCTCTGGGGCCGGGGCCGGCGGTGTGGGGCGGGGGCCCGAGCGGGGTCAGGCCCGCCGTGCGGCCGGGCTCGGCGTCCCAGGCGGCACCGCGGTGGGCGCCAAAGAAGCGGGCCTTGATGTCCTCGAAGCCGTCGGTCCAGGCCCGGCGGCCAGCGGCCACCTCGTCGGTCACGGCCTTGTGGAAGGCCCGCGCGGCCTCCCAGCCGTGGGCGCCCAGGTGCTCGAAGACCTCGAAGCAGAGCAGGTGGCGCATCTTCCTCTCCTCGGCGGGCAGGTCGCACTCTAGCAGCTGGAAGTAGCCCAGCATGAAGAGGTCCAGCGTGAGGCTGCCATAGGGCACGGGCGCCCCGTCCACGTGGGGCAGGAACTGCTCGGGGGACAGGAGGCCCTGGGGCCGCCGGCTCAGCCGCCGCAGCTGCCGGGCGGGCACGTGCGCCAGGATGGCCTTCCAGTTGCCCAGCAGGTGGGCGATGATGGTCCGCTGCTGCCACAGGTGGCCCAGCCGGGGGCCCTCGCTGGGCGGGGGGGCGGGCGGCGGGGGGGCCCTGGCCACCAGGGTCCCCGCGCGGCGGGCCTCCAGGGTCCGGCAGGCGGCCGTCTTGAGCGCGGGCGTGTAGGCCGACTTCTTCCAGTGGCTGAGGAACAGCATGACGATGCGCTCCTTCCGCAGGTTGGCCAGGTCGGGGCCGTGCCCGGCGCCCGCCTCCGACGGGGCCTCCTCACAGCTGATGCCGGAGTCGCTGGCCTCCTCCGTGTCGCCCGGCCCGGGCTCCCCTCCCATCGGGCCGGCCCGGGGCTGCGGTGGGGCGGGCCAGCAGCCGCGGGGGCACTGCCCGGGCTGGACCCCTGCCTCGCAGGGGGGTCCTAGGTTTGGGATGCAGGGAAGGCAGGGGGCCGACTCGAAGTTGCCACGCAGCGTCCGCACGGACACCCCGCACTCCTGGATCTCACGCTGGGCCTCGCTCTGCGGGGGGCCGGCGGGGGCCTCCCTGCCGGCCTCCTGTGGGGCCTGCCCGGCCGGCTTCTCCTCCCCCTGCACCAGCCCGTTCATGCCCTTCAGCAGCAGCGACATGCTGCGCACCAGCCGGGCGACGTGGCTGCACCAGAAGGGCAGGGGCTGCCCGCCGGGCACGGCCTCCGCGGCCACCTCAGGGCCCGAGGGCTCGGGCGCCGGGCAGGGGGCCTCCTCGCCCTCCAGCCCTGGCGCCCGGGGCAGGAAGTGGCTGTTGACGGTGATGCTAACCAGGGGCTCGGGCAGCAGGGCCTGCAGCTCAGCCGCCAGCTGGCCCAGCTGGCTCTCGTACTCCTGGCAGCGTCTTCGCAGCTGCAGGTCGGCGATCTGCTTCTCCAGGTACACCAGGTCGTCCTCCGTCAGCAGCTCCCCGAAGGGGCCCAGGATGGCCTGGTGGGTCTGCGAGTACCGCCAGGCCGCCTGCTCTGTGGGGCCCGCGCTCCTCCCGCTGTCCTCCTGGGCAGAGAAGGGCCGGTCAGCGGGGTGGCTGGGAGGGCATGCTCCTTCCTGCTGGACTCGAGCTCCCCGAGGTGGCCGGCGCCCGGTGCCGCTGGGGAGCCCAGCCCTGGACAGCCGCTGGCTCTTGCCTGGACTTAGAGACTGAAGCTCAGGACAATCCCCTTCGAAGAAGCTGGGGTGTCTGCTCTGCCTAACCTCTTCCTCTCATCTCCCGGATGTTCAATGCATAGGCTCTCTCTCCTCAGAGTCCTCCTGCCCCTCCTGCCCCTCCTGCCCCACCCCAGAGCCTTCTGGGCCAGAAGGCGGCCTTGGAGGACGGCAGCCTCAACCACTGTGCTCTGGGTTCTCCCCATGGCTCACCCCAGAACCCCTCCTCTCCCCCCCGCCCCCCGCACCAGACACAGCCCTGCCCCAGTGCTCAGAGTCTTCGGGGTCAGTCATGGAGGGACCCTGAGCTGGGCTCCCTCTGGGTCCAGGCCCCGGGGCTCTTGATTACCTCTCAGAACCCCTGGAGGAGGCGCCCATTTCACAGGCGAGCTACCTACCGCCTGGTTGCCAAGAGGCCTAAACTGTCTGGTGCCAGGCACGCTCTGCACTGAGCTCTGAGAGCCAGTCAGTAGGTATTTGGCTCAGGAGCCCGTGGGCAGGGAGTGGCCGCTGTTCCAGGAGGGGCTTTGACGTTTATTTCCTGTTCATGAACTTAAACAGCCTCACGTGAGGGTATTACTGTTCTGCAGGGGCTGCTCTGCGGCAAGGGGTGCAGAGCACCTCGTTCAGACAAAACCGTGTCCCTCAAGGGTAGGTCTCTAGGACTGCTGTCCACACGGCAGGCAGGGGGGCCTGGCAAAGTCCACCTCGGACCACAGCCCTTTCTCTGCTCAGGTGTTTTTTTTTGTTTGTTTGTTTTTTAAATCCTCTCCGGAGGATATTTTTTCCATTGATTTTCAGAGTGGAAGGGAGGGAGGAGACAGGGAGAGAGAAACATCGATGTGAGAGTGACACACTAAACCAAACCCGACCAGGGCCAGAGATCGAACGTGCAACCACAACCGGAGTATGTGCCCTGTATGGACCCTTGGAATGAACCCGTGACCCTTGGGTCCTCAGGCGGATGCTCTAACCATTGAGCCACCAGCCAGGGCTCTGCTCAGACTTTCAAAGGCTCCCCAGAGGCCTTGCAGTGAGAGGTCCTGTAATATTCTGCCTGTCCCTTATCTGACCTCACCTCTGCCCACTGTCCCTCATTCACTCCACTCCTGCCTCCTCCTGGTCCTCCCTTGGGCCAACCCATTCTGCCTCAGGACCCCACCTTCCATGTCCACCTGCCAGGACGAAGCTCTCATCCCCCTCCTGCCTCCTCCTCACCCCCCACCCCGTCCTCTATCCTCTGGCTCCACCCCTCCCGCCGGGCCCCGCCCCTCTCTCCCCACCCCCCTGGCCCAGCCCCACCTGAGCTTCCCGGGCAGGGTCGGCGCCCAGGCGTGCCTGCAGCTTCCGCACCATCACCTGCCGCTTCCACTCGGGGATGGGCCGGCCGCGCTCGTCACGCGTGGGCACCAGCCCATCGAGGTCGCCAGAGGGCAGTCCATCCAGCTGCAGTGCGGCCAGGCCCTGGGGGGTATCCCCCGCCGCCGCCGTCTCTGCCCCCTGTGCCAACAAGAGCAGGTAATTCGGGGCCCCTCGGGCGCCCTGCCAGGGAGAGGAAGGGAGGGCCACCTGGGGCCAGCGCAGCCCAGGGAGGAGGGGCGGTGGGGCTGGCCAGGGAGGGTGGGGAGACCAAGGACAGCAGTGTCCCCTGTGGTATCGAGGCAGGGGGGGGGAGGGGGAGGGAAGGGGCGGGGATTGCTGGGTGAGAGGCAAGGAGAGATTCCTCCTGCTCTGCTGTATCTGGCCCGGAAGGAGTTGCTCAGAGTATGCCATGCAGATGGGCAAACAAGTTTGCAGAACAGTTGCATAGACAGAGTCTGGTGGCCAATTCTGGACTGCAGGGCTTGTCAGGGCCTTTAAGGGGCTCCTCCCACTCCCCCCCCACACTCCCCGGGCCCCCATAACTCCAAGACGGAGAGCACTGCAGCGTTTCCCAAACCTGCACAGGAATCTCAGCCGCTGAGAGTGCCCAGGACCCATTTAAGAAACGGAGGGCAGGATTTGTGGGGGCCTCATGCCCAGAAAGAGGACAGAAAGGAAGTGGGTTCTCCCTCCCCCCACGGGTCCTGGGCTGGCCGAGAGCTCCAAGGCCGAGGGCAGTGGGCACCAGGCCACCCTCTCCATGGATGCTGCTTCTCTATATCATGACAGCAGCATCCCTGAGTTCAGGCTGCCCAGCGGCCTGGCCTGGGCTCCCATCACGGAACGCTGGCTGGGCCCTGCGGCTGGGCTGGGGGCCGTGGCAGACGGAGACGTGGACAGTGAGGACGCACCGTAGCGATGGCCACGGCGCAGGTGCTGATCCCCAGGGGGACCGAGTGGGTCATCGGCTCCCGCGGAGGAGGCTGGTCGGGCTGGCCGGGCCAGGCGGGGCTGAGCGATGCTGCTGCTGGGCGGAAGGGGAACTGGAATTAGAGGGGCTTCCGGGCAGGGGGCTGGGGAGCAGAAGCCCCGGGACCTGGGGTAGAGCCGCCTCCCTGAAGGACATGGGGTTTGGAGCCAACGATCCAGCTGGCCCCCTTCTCTCAGAAGCACCCGGGAGTGTGCTCAGGCCTCCAGAGGCTGGCTGGAGGGAGAGCCTGCGTTCTATTGTGATCATCCCATTGCACGGCCAGTTCTCCTCTTCCCAGTCCTGCTACCGCCAGTGGTCTGGGGACCTGAAGCAGCCCATTGGGCCACAAAGCCTGTCCTGTACCACCCTCCGTGCCCCTGAACCCCATACAGATGCCCACACCAAGGCCCCACACTGATGAGAAACACATTCTGCATCACCCCCGGCCCACACGGTCCTACATGACGACCATGTGCCCCATGAACTGCTGCCGCCCTCACTGCGAACATTTCTCAGCTGCTCCGTTCCATCCTCATAAACGCAGGGCCGGTGGTGACCTGCAGTTTACGGACTGTGTCCCTGTCCCCGCTGTGTCTGTAGGGGTTTCCCCCTCTGGACTGGGGGACCAGAGAGGGAGGGGGCTGCCCATCATCACACAGGCGGGGAGCCAGGCCCCAGCGGCTCAGAGCTCACAGGGACCCTGCCGGGGCAGGAGGCTGTTTAACTGGTCTCCCTTTAAAACACGAAGACAACAAAGGAAATCTAGAAGAAGTTGGGGGTTGGGCAGTGGGAGGGGGTGACCTCAACCAGGTCCTGAGCATCCTGAGCATAGTTGCCTGGAGTCAGCTATCCCTGCCACCTCCAACCCCTCAAAGGACCTCGGGGGTGAGGCCAACAGTGCCCACTCCTGGCACCCATGGCCCAGGCCTGTCCTCCCTGGAGAAGCGTACTCACCGGTGGGGCTCCTGAGACCTGAGCCTCCTCTTCCATCCTCTGGGGAGCGCCTCGCAGCCGACAGTGGAGGAGGGGGGAATGGTGGGGGCGGGGGTGTCATCAGGAGCGGCACCTGGGGGTGGACAGGCCTGGTCAGCGGGAGGCCCGGGTGAAGGTGAGGGGTGTCCAGGCTAGCCTGGCCCATTTCGTGCATCTTAGAACAGGCCTGGAGGCGGTCAAGTATCCCTCCCGGTTCTGTCCCCCATGTCTCTCTACTCCCTCCACACCGGGTGACCAGGGCTCCCAAACACCCACGCACTTGTCTGAGTGCCACCACTCACTGTGCCCCCCCAATGCCACTGATACCACCACCACCACCACCACCACCACCACCACCACCACCACTGCCACCACCGCCACCACCAGGGAATCCCTATCTCAAGGCCGAGCTCATGGGCTCCCTCTAGAGGCAGCTTAACTCGGCAGCTCCAGGTGCTGGCTTAGGACCTGGTGTCCAGCTTGAGCTCACCTCTCTTTGGCCTTTCAAGAGATGTGCGCGCACACACCCTCCCAGACTGGCCCCGACATCTGTGCTGAGACGAACCACCTAGGGTGGTCCCCTCCGAGGAGAGCAGGGGCCTGGCCCCTAGGCTTAGGGGAAAACCACAAGGAACTTGAAACTCTTCTTAGCCACAAGCAGGGGCCATGGGCTGACCACACCTCAGGGCGGGGTACTGTGCCCAAGACCTATCACGCAGTGTCCTGGCTGCCCTCCGGGCTGCCTGGAATCAGACACCAAGACTGGCCCTGGGAGCATGGGGTCTGGGAATCCATGCTGGGGCGACTGGATCACCCCCCATTTACCCCACAGCCTGCCCCGTGTCTGCGGCAGGGCACAATCCTGTCCTTGGCCACCTCTCTGCCCCCAAGCACTGACGGGTGAGCAGCTGGAAAGAGCCTTGGCTTGGAGGCGCTCCCCCAGCTCAGCCTTAGCTTTGGCACTGACCGCCGGGAGCCAAGACGCCTGGCCGGGTGGGCTCCGGGCCTGGCTGAGCCGGGCCCCAGGCGTGCAGGCTGCCCTGACAGCAGGTGTTGCCAGCAGCAGGACTGTGCTCACTGCCCGCCGCTGCCTGTCCCACGTAGGTGGCACAGAAATTCCCCAGGAGGACTCCTGAGCTGTCCTCCAGGACCCCAGACCAGAGCCTTTTGGTTTAAAGCTGAAGGCTGTCCGGCCCCGTCTCTCAGCTGGTGGACGCCCAGGGTCCTGGCCGGGCCGGGTGTCTCGGTGCTGCCTGGCATGAGGCTGCCCCATTCCGGCTCAGCTAGTCAGGCTGTACGCTGCCTTCTCCCAACCCAAGCACCCTGCCCCAGCCAGCAGACTGCAGCTCCGCACCCCTCCCTCCTGGGGCCCCCTGGGTGGTGCTGGAGAGAGCCAGAGGACCAGAACCGGGTTTAATGGACCCATAGGGGATGCATGGCCGGGCCGGGGCCCACGCCCAGCTCTGCCTTGAAATTCTTCCTGGCTCAGAAGGCGGGAGGCCTGCATTTTCACTTCACACAGAGCCTTGCATGGGGGAGCCCTCGCCACAGGTCTTCACCCACTGCCTCCGGCTCCGCGTCACAGTCCTGTCCAGGCCTCTCCGTCCACCATGGCCACCGGACGGGAACACAGCCCGAGACCCCGTCTGCCCGCCACCACCCACCTCACACCTCGCTCCTTGCACAGCAGCCGGGGAGCTTCGGCAGGCGCAGGGTGGTCTCCCGGAGCCCAGAGGACCTGTGGAGTCGGGGCTGGGCTGGGAGCACGGGGCGCTGTGGTGTCCTGGGCTGTCGGGGCTGTCACAGCTGCTTCCCCAGGGATGGGAGGCATCGCATGAATATTTGAAGGCAGAGGTGTCAGGTGGCCAGGCGGGCTGGGGCCGCATGTGGGATCCCTTACCACGCACCTTAACCCTCCACAGGGCAGGCCCGGGGAGGCCGACCCTCAGGGGACCTGAGATCCCGGGCACATGGGAGGGAGAGACCACCCAGCGGGATCCCTCAGGACGGTACCTGCACCCCCAGGACAGCCCCGGGCACAGGGGCAAGGGGCTTTCTCAAGGCCCAGCAGCTGGGACGAGGCGACCCGGGGACCCCAATCCTTACGCCTGCCAGGACGGGAGCCCCTCGAATCAGTGCCCTGGGATCGGGCCCAGGGCACCCGCAGTGGAGGGAGAGGCAGGCGGTGGGCCTCTCCATCTACTAAGTGTGCCCCGTCCTGCTGCTCTTCTCCTGGCGTTTCTCGGGGCCGTGTGTGCAGCGGGGTCCCAGACAGAGGCGCAGGCTGCTTACTGCTCGCTATAAAACAGGGCTGCCCAGGCTCTGGGGTCCTCAGCTGTGACGCAAACGTCCTGGGTGCAGAGCAGCCACCTGGGCCTCTATCACACAACCCTGGGGCTTGGGGGGCAAAGGGACCCAACAAGACCCTTCACCCTGTGCCTCAGACCCAGGAGGCTCGTGTCTTCTCCCAGCGTCCATGAGGCGGACACAGCCTGGCTTAGGAGCTGCAAACGGGGCCAGTCAGACTCCAGGCCCCGAGGCACAGCTACAGACGCTGGCGGTGACAGGCTGGTGGACAGAGGAGGGCTGAGCAGGGCCCTCCCCAAAGGGCCACTCCCATGCCTGGCCCCACTCAGCCAGGACAGGGCTGTGGGCTTGCCTGCGGGCCCTGCTCCCAGCTACCCTGGGAGCCCATGGAATCTGCTCGGGGGAGGGGCAAGAACCTCCCTCCCCGGGTGGCAGCTGCCCTTCATGGGGGGAGCGTGGGAGAGGCAGGGAGCTGGGACTTGCTCGGGGACCCAGGGGGAGTGGGAGAGGTAGGGAACTTGGGCCTCCGTGCAGCTGGGAGGCCTGTGCCACCTGTCCCCGGGGCTGAGTCCTGCTCACCGCTCCCAGGAGCAGCTCTGGGGAGGTGCCTTGGGCCTCGGCTTCCTGGAAAAATGCTGCAGGTGGGAGTTAAGGAGAGAGCCTGGCAGGGCTGGCACCTTGGCACAGGCCTCGTCCCTGCGGTGTCCCTGTGACCTCTGCATTTTAGCTAAGACAGGGGTCTGCTGCCGCGTTCCCCCGGCAATGGGCGTCCCACACCCCTGCGTTCCCCACTGAGGCTGGACAGGAACCACATCCACAGGGACCAGACGAAGCGGCCGACAGTCCCGACCTGTGGGCTCCTGACTGCGGGCGCGTTACCCCCAAACTGGGCAACTGCCCCAAGGCTGGCGCCTTTCCCACGGCCTGCAGTCTTCACTGTGTTTTTGGTGAGATTTGAGCAGCGCTGAGCTGACCATGCATTATACATTGAGGACAGCCGGGTTACAGGCCTGTAATGCCACCCGGCCGGCCAAATCATGACCTGCAGCTGGGCTGGACACCTGTCGCCACGCTGAGATTCAGCCAGGCCTGCCCCTCCCTTGGGGAGGAGGCCTCGGGGGGAGGCCTTGCCTTCTCTGGGCCTCAGTTTCCCCATCTGTAAAACAAAGAGGATTCAGGACCCTTCTGCATCAGGGGGAGGGGGTACTGGGATAGTTCTGAGTGGTCAATGGGTGTCTCTTTTACCCTTCAACGAGGCTCCTCCAATCCCATTTTACAGATGAGAAAACTGAGGCTCAGAGATACTCACCACCTGCCGGGCAGAGCCGCCCCAATCCTGGTGGTAATGGGGATGGGGCAGGGGCAAGCGGGACAGTGGATGCCATGGAGATGTGGGGAACCTGGCTTGCCACTCTGGGCTGCGGCTCCAAACTGCTGCCACCAGGACCTCACTCACACCGGCCTCGGAAGAGGGAGTCCCCCAGTCCCCTGTGTGCAGAGGGGCTGCCCAGGGAGCAGAAGGACTCGGCTGAAGTCCAGGTGGAGAGGTTGAGGCAGGGCCTGCACTTCCCCAGCGGCATGCAGACCCCCACTGCCCTGCAGACCACGGAGGGGGTCTCGTCTCCACGGGCCCAGCCCCAGGCCCCGGGCTGCCTCTCTGGGGAGCCGTGGCTATGGCTTTCACCACCTCCCCCGAGCCTGACACGGGAAGAGGCCAGCGCGGTGACCTCTGGATATTGCGTTTCCATCAATATTGCATCAGGCGCGCAGCCTCCCGGGCCGCGGCCCCCAGCTGCCGGCCGCCCTCCCGCCCGCAGGGCCACGCCTGCGCCTGGGAGTGGGGCCGGAGTCCTGCTGCCCCGGTGCTCGCTGAGGGAGAAGAGAGAGGCCGCAGGTCCAACCCTGAGACCCGGATGGGTCCTGAGACCCCCCCGTAGCTGAGGGTCTGTGTTTGAATGCGCCGGGCCCGCCGTCAGCCCGGATGCAGGCCGAGGGGCTGGGGGAGGCGGAAGGAGGCGGACAAGCCCACCCGCTCTCCACCGTCACAGGGGGGCGTGTGGATGGGCAGGTGCCCCTGGCCTGCAGCGGGTGGGGGCCTGCACACACAGCTCAGGCTGGTCTGGGGCATCTCTGCCTTGGATCCCGTGGTGTCACCAAGAAGCCAGCCAGAACCCGGAGAACCACCAGGTAACCTGCGGTGGGCCACTCCCAGGGGTCCGCAGAGCACACTCAGCCCCGTCCCCCTAGGGAGTGGGGCACAGGGCCGGAGGAGCCCGGGGTCGGAGGGTGGGCCAGGCCATTGCAGTGTGGCTGGGTGGGGGCCCGGCAAGGGACCCGGGATGGGGCCTGCTCCCTGGCAGCCAAGCAGCCCCCACCCTGCCTCCTCATCTCATCTGCCAGGCCGACCCAGACCCAGCGACCACACCGGGGCTGGGAGGGACACAGGGGGCCGGGCATCCCTGGCGGATGGACAGTGAGGCTCCGCCCACCACACCAGCAGCTCGCTGAGGTCCCCAACGCCTCCAGCCCAAGCCAGGGACACAGCCTCTAACCAAACATCGGATGTTCAGTGAAATGGTTAGGGAGTAAATTACTGCAGCAGACCTGCAGTTCTTGCTTCCGAAACTATAACGTCAGGACAAGCCAGGGCTCAGCATGCCCCCGAGCGCCTAAGCTGCCCCAGGACCATGGCCGGCGATGGCCGAGGGAGGACTGTGCCTGGGTCCAGGCCCGGGAAGGACTGCAGCCCTGCCCACCCCAGTCCTGACGCCCTGGAGGACGAGGAGGCACAGCTGTGAGACCTGGCCCAGAGGCGTGGCAGCTCTCTGGGCCTCAGGGCTCTCAGCTGAAGTGGGGTCCAGTCATCCCGGGGTGCCCACTAAGGAGAAGGGCAGATTGGAATGGGGGTAGCTAGACTCCACGCTGACTAAACTGCTGACTCCACCCACATATCTGTCCACCCCCACCCATTGGTCTGTCCATCCACCATCATATCTGTCCACCCCCACCCATTGGTCTGTCCATCCACCATCATATCTGTCCATCCCAACGCATTGGTCTGTCCATCCACCATCACATCTGTCCACCCCCACCCATTGGTCTGTCCATCCACCATCATATCTGTCCACCCCCACCCATTGGTCTGTCCATCTACCATCACATCTGTCCACCCCCACCCATTGGTCTGCCCATCCACCATCACATCTGTCCACCCCCACCCATTGGTCTGTCCATCCACACCCTTATATTATCCATTTGCTCACCCACCGGTCTGCTCCTGTTTGTTCCACAAACACTGTGGCCTGTCACGTGCTGCGGACGAGACCCCTGTCCTCACAGACTGTGTAGTGGCTCAGGGAGGGTCAAGGTCACAAGCCACGGCCAGAGGGGGGACTGGCAGCTGCTGCCTCCTGGGCTGCAAAGGGCTGGCTGGGCCTCATGAGGGTCACCTCACCTAGAACGCAACGTCTTGCTCCCACCCGTGGGGAACCTCAGTCTGACACAGCGTCACCCCTGGGAGCACTGGCCGTGAGGGTCCGGTAGATGGCAGCCCTGTCACAGCCCCATCACAGCCCCGTCACAGGACTGGTCATTGCCCAGTCATGGCTGCTGGCTCATCCCTAGTCCCAGCGCCCAGCCAGCTGAGCTGTGGGGCTGGCTCAGCCCTGGCCCAGAACCTTTTTCCTGCACATGGATCTTTCTAGCTAACTGGTCTGTCAAGGTAGGGAGTGGGGGCATAGGGGCTGTCACCCCCCCTCCCCCCCAGCTAGGATGGCTGGGGACCCTGAGACTCACCGGCCGGGCCGTCTCCCGCAGGTACTGGGCGCAGTCCTGGTGCCCGTGGTACTCCGCCAGGTCTGCTGCCGTGTAGCCATCTTCGTCCCGCAGGGAGGGATCCACGTGGTGGGAGACCAGGGTCTGGCAGCACTGCAGGGAGGGCACATGTGACCACGGCAGACCTGTAGTTCTTGATTCTGAAACTATAACGTCAGGACAAGCCAGGGCACCGGTGTGCCCTCAGAGCGCCTGAGCTGCCCAGGACCGTGGCTGAGGGAGGACTGTCCCTGGGCGCAGTCCCACAGCACTCACAGGCACCACAGAGGGCTGGCACCACACCCCCAGCTCCCAGGTGGGGCGCTGAGGCTGCCAACGTCTGAGGAACCCGCCTGAGAATCCCAGCGTCCTCTGCACCCACAGCTGCCCAGCCTGGCACCAAGCCCTGCAGGTACCAGCACCCCGTCCTGTATGGCAACCCAGGTACGAGGTAAAGAACTCGCTGAGGGCTCAGGTGGTAAGAAGGCGGCGTGTCTGGGGTCCTCCCTGCTCGGAGCCTGACCCCGACCTTGCCCCTTGCCCTTGCAGCCCTTGTCCTGGCCTGCAACTACATAACCAGTTTCCATTTTTACAGCGACTCTCAGAGGGCTGTGCCGTGTTCACATGAAGAAGCTGGGACTTGTGCCAGACGGAAGTCTGACGCCTGTGAGGTGGCTGAGCCAGCAGCACAGACAGGTGGGCGGAAGGACCCAGGTCAGGGCATAGCGGAGCAGGTGGGTCGGAGCCTCCCAGCGACGCAGAAAATGGATGAGACATGAAAGTCCCCTTCCTGAAGCACAGAAGAGGCAACAAGCAAGCGAGGAGCCACCAGGCCAAGCCAGAAGACAAGCGTCGGAGGGATGAGCCCAGCACTCAGAGCGCTGATGCAGGAGAAGGTCATGACCTGGGAGTCCTTGCAGCCGCCTGGGAGGAGGGGCACCAGCAAAAGCCAGGGCCTCCGAAGGTGGGCTCTGATCCACCACCTGCCGCTGCAGGCTGAGGGCTCAGAGGAAAGTGCACCAGAGCCAGCCAGACCACAGCTCCCCCTGCAGGCGCTCCAGGGAGCCTCACCAGGAATGTGGACTCAGATGGTTCTGGGCTGGCAAGTCCCTCACCTGCTAACAGGCAGAGGCAACCAAGACAACATCCCGGGCCTCAGTTGACTCCTGCAAATCATTTCTCACCGGACAGTCCACAAGGCCAGGAGCACCACGAAGGAGGCCAGGACACAAGCAAACAGACCTGAAGAAACAGGCTACCGACTGCGATGTAACCGAGCTTACGACTTTCAGACATAAAGACCAGGCATGAAATGATAAATCATAAAAACAGACACATGCAGATTTGGAAAATGACTAATTCTGAGGTGGAGAACATCCTATATAATAAAAGTCTAATATGCAAATTATCTCCTCAAATGGGAGTTTGACTGGGAGTTCAACCAGGGGGCAGGGCCGGCCGGCCCATCACCCCCTCCCCACAGCCAGCCTGGCCAGATCTGCCTCAATGCGCAGGCAGACTCCACCCGTGCACAAATTCACCAGGCCTCTAGTAAAAATAATAACCAAGTTAAGGACTGAAGCTGAAGAACTGGTAAACAGAAAATGGGCCTGAAGAAGCAATCCAGAATATAGCACGGCCGGACAGAAAGATGAAGACAGAAAACCAGCAGCTATAGCCAGAACTAAAATGCAGAATGAGGGACAGCAGAGTGGATGCAGAGGGTGTGTCTGAGGAGAGAACGGCTGAGAATTTAACAGACAGGCAGAAACACCAAGCACAAGCTCAAGAAGTCCAACTAGTCCTGAGTAAGAGCCTTCCACCCTGGTCCTATCACAGTGAAACTGCGAAAGACGAGACACGAAGGGCACGTTACTAGTAAAGCAGTTAGAGGGGAAACTATGATCTTCAAACAGTGACTCCCCCCGCAGGCCTCTTGGTGGAAGCCAGAAAGTGATGAATGACATTTTCAAAGCACCAATATGTAAAAACTGCCAAGCTACAGTTCCCTACCCAGCAAGAATGTGCTGAAGATGAAAAGATGTTTCCAGACAAACGAAAGGAACAAGAAGCAAACCCAGTCTGAGGGACTGTCTAAAACATTCTCTCAGACCGAGGGAAAGGAATTCCATGTGGGGTCCCAAATTGCCAGAAGGAATGGGCCTGAGAGGAAAAGGGGGTAAACCTGTGGGTATTTTTGCATATGTTTTTATTTATGTACTGAATAAAAAATAATAATGTCATATAGTTTTTTGAAAACTGTAGAAATAAAACACATTAAAAACAGCAAACTTTTCTGGCCTTTTCCTCCACCGCCCACCTCCCACCAGCTCTTTCACAGCTGGGACTGTGGGGACCATCATGCTCACCCCTAGGAGGTAGCTTGTCTCAGAGATGGGGCAGTGAGGCCTTCCCATGGTCCCTCACTGTGCCGGACACCATTTTGGGTGGCCACCTGGGCCACTCCTCACAGCTCCCCCACCTTGTGGGGCCTAAGAGGCCTGTATTACACAAGGTGAAACAAGGCATCGGGAAGGATAAGAGGCCTCACACGTTCAGACACCAGGAAGCAGGCAGCCTGGGTGCAGAGCAATGGCTCTCAGAGCCCATGACCTTCACCATCGCCCCAAACCGAGCAGCCTCAGAGGGTGCAGGGCTGGAAGGCACCTTGAGCATGAGTTAGTCCAGGGCCCCCCATTCCTAACGTCAGTCCCAGTGCACCCTTTTTGTACTCGAAGGAACCGCTGAGCTAAAGCCAGCCCTCAGTGCGCCCTTATTATCACAAATATTTCCTGACACCTCATTCAAGATTCTAAAGAGAACGCCATACATGCTATCATTTACCTGCTCACATATTTTTTATTTTTTAAAAATATATTTGTATTGATTTTAGAGAGGAAGGGAGAGGGGGAGACAGAAACATCAATGATGATGAGAGTGTCATTGATTGGCTGCCTCCTGCACGCCCCACACTGGAGATCAAGCCTGCAACCTGGGCACGTGCCCTGATCGGGAATCAAACCATGACCTTCTGGTTCATAGGTTGACGCTCAACCACTGGGCCACACTGGCTGGGCTGCACACATACTTTGAAAATAATTTGTATTCCCCTCTAACACTAACACACAGGTGAAGAGGACAAGATGCAGTGTAATAAGTGTGCATCTTATTGCAAATGCTCAGGTGCAAGGAAACAGAGGACGCAGTCCAATGGGCATATCAGGGAAAACCAGAAAGGCACCTTATGGGTAAGAGTCATTACACACCTTCTGCGCTGCCCCTGCCTCTCATTCACTGCCTTCGATGTGCCAAATGATTCTTGTCCAGAGAAAGGCAAAAATGCCTGTGTCAGATGGAGTACAATCAGCCGATCCCCTGCCTGCCATACCGACCGGGTTGCATCCGTCTGTCTGTATATTTGCCTCCTCATCCCTCCCCCGTTGGGGGTAAGTGTGTGTGTGGATACACAGTCGCTTTGAATTCCCAGCTTCCTCACTGACTAATGAGTTAAACCCTAACCCCCTGGTGCTGCCTTACCTCCATCTGTCCGTTCTCTGCGGCGTCATGCAGGGGGGTCCCGCCCCAGGAGTCTCTCATGATGGGGGTGCCCATCAGCAGCAGCCGGTCCAGGATGGGTGTGTGGCCGCCTCGAGCTGCGAAGTGGAGGGCTGTGGCCCCCTCGTTGTCCCGTGCCGTCAGGCCAATGTCAGTGAAGGTGACCTGGAGGCAGCGGGGAGAGGGGCCCGGTGAGGCTGCATGGGGGACCACTCCTGGGGGCGGCCGCCAGGAGGAGGACATGGAGCTCTGGGAGGTGACCGTGGGGGCAGGGGCACCACTCCCCAGGAAGTCCGGGGACAGAGCTGGCCCCTCACCCCCAGCCTGCCATCATCCCAGGGCCTGGCACCTCCAGAACAGCGTGTTGGGGGTGAGATCTGGTTTTACTGGGCGCCTCCAGTCCCCACATCTGCCCCCGCCCAAATCTTTTTTCTTTTCTTTTTTTTTTCTTTTTTAAAAACATTTTATTGATTTTTTACAGAGAGGAAGAGAGTTAGAAATATCAATGATAGAGAAACATCGATCAGCTGCCTCTGGCACACACCCCACTGGGGATGTGCCCGCAACCAAGGTACACGCCCTTGACCAGAATCGAATCCTGGACCTTTCAGTCCATAGGCCGATGCTCTATCCACTGAGCCAAACCGGTTTCAGCCCCAACCCAAATCTTTTTTTCTTTTTTTTTAAATATATTTTATTGATTTTGTACAGAGAGGAAGGGAGAGAGACAGAGAGTTAGAAACATCGATGAGAGAGTCATCGATCAGCTGCCTCTTGCACACCCGCTACTGGGGATATGCCCGCAACCAAGGTACATGCCCTTGACCGGAATCGAACCTGGGACCCTTCAGTCCCCAAGCCGACACTCTATCCATTGAGCCAAACCGGTTTCGGCCCCAGCCCAAATCTTAAGCAGAACACCTCCAGGGGCTGGTTTCACCCATCCAATGAGCAAAACACCTCGAGGGCACCTGGGAGACCACAAGCCACGCTTACAGCCTCGGCTCCCCCTGCACAGATGCAGAAGCGGGTCCTGGCAGGCCTCTCAGGGCGCTGGACTCGGGCCCTGGTCATCCTGTGGCTTGGGCCCTGTCCTGCTGGCAACCCACCTCTGTGAGGGCACCAGTGGCCTCTGGTCCAGAGCACCCGGCTGGGCGTCAGGGATGTGAGGGGCAGACCCTGAGGGTTGCCCACCCACTTCTATGGGCACACTGACCTGTGGCCTCGGGATGGTCATCACCTAGTCTACCAACAAGACGCTAAGGGCCTCTTCCAGGAAAACCCTGCCTTCCTGAGGGAAGGGGCTGGCGGATGTGGGTGCCCCTTTTCTCCCTCTTCCTGCCTTGACTTTCACCCCGAGGGCAAGGCCAGGGGAACAGCGGAGACGTGCCCACGGGGTTGAGCCACTGTCAATGGCCTCCTGCTCCTTCTGGGGGAGGATCGGGCTTCGGTTGTTTGGTCCACGCGTCACCTACGGCCCAAAGCTCTGCTGGCTCACCCCATACTCAGCGTGTCTGTGAGGAACAGAGGCCTCCCACCAGCCAGCACCCCGAGGGCAAGGGTGCCCAGCCCTGGCCGCAGGCGGGCTAGGCTGGATGGAGGCTGCCCTCCCCCTCGGCCATTCTACAGGGCGGGGGTGGGAGTCCATCTGGAAAGTCCTTTCTGGTCCTGGGACCTCATGGCCCCACCTGCTCTCCCTGGGGCGAGCCTCTGGGGGACTCTGGGGGGCTCAGAGGTCCCTCTGCCCTCCTACCCACCTGTCCTGGGCACCACACAGCCTGCGGGCTCACTTCGTATGTGAAGTGCCTGCTACGCACGGCCCTGCTCCCAGAGATGGCCAGGACCCACCCCGGGCCCAGGAGTCCCTCCAGGTGAGGGAGGCCAGGTCTAAAATGGATGGGCTCACAGATATAGGGAGGGGAGGCTCACACCTACAGGGGAGGGGATGTGAGGACACGCCCCAGGCTGTCAGGGGGTGACAACTGGAGGGCCTCAGGCTTTCTCCGGGGGAGGGTCCACTTGGCAGGAGGACCCCAGGAGGAGGGAGACCTGGTCTGTGCTGAGTGCCTGGGGGGAGGGACTGGGAGGGGCCGGAAAAGGGAGGCTGGCGGTGACCACTGGCGGCCTCTGAGGCCCGGGTGAGCAGCGGGACCTCATCCTGAGGACCTCATTCATTTGCTCACTGCACGTCTCCAGAGCCCTGGCCTCATGCCAGGCCCTGAGACAGCCGCTGGACAGAGACCCTGCCTCCCAGGGCAGGGACAGACAAGCACCAAGATAAAGAAGTCAAAATTACAGTGTGTCGGTGTTGGTGCCATGGAGGAAAGACGGCAGGAGAGCAGAAGGCTGGGCACAGGGTGGCTGCCATCCTAGCCAGGTGGGCAGGCAGGCAGTGGAGGGGCCCTGGGGAGCTGCTGCCAGGCAGAGGGGGCCGCACATGCAAAGGCCCCTGGGAGTGAGGCTGGCTTGCTGGAAGGGCCGAGGAGGAGGCCCCTGGGCGAGTGGGGAAGGGCTGTAGATGCCAGGCTCTCAGCCTCAGCCTGGAGCTGTGTGCATCCCGGGCCCTGCCTGAGCCTGCTGCCCACGCTGCTGGGAGTGATGGGCGAGCACATCCCATCCCCACAACCCTGTGAATCCCGGGTTCTGCGGGGATTCAGGGGGTGGGCCCCCACCGCAGCCAGGCCCTGCTTGCTGGGAGGGGCCCTGGGGGGTAGGCAGGAGCAGGGGCCATCCTTCAGGGGACTCCCCAGTCCGCATCCGGTCCCCCTTACCAGCCAGACGACTAGCGAGTAGTGTCCGCGGGCGGCGGCGGCGTGCAGCGCACTCATGCCGTCCAGGGCGCGCAGGTGCACGTCGGCGCCGCAGTCCTTCACCAGGAATTGGGCGAGGTGCAGGTGGCCCTCCTGGCAGGCCAGGTACAGCGGGGAGGCGCCGCTGCGGGTCCGCCGGTTCACGCTGCTGCAGGGGGAGGGCGAGGTTCAGAGGGCGCTTGGCCAGGGGTCACGGGGTGGGGGTGGGGATTGATCCAGCTAAGGACCCAGACCGAGGGGAGGGGAGGCCCGGCACTGGCCAGCTCCAGCTCCCTTACCCGCTGAGGGGTCCCAGCCAGCCACTTGTAGGCTTGCACAGGTTTCCCCATTGCCCAAGCCCAAGGGAACTGGACTCTGGCTGCTGGAATCCAGCTCCGCCCATTCCTCATCAAAGGTGTGCGCCCTGGGCTTGGCCAGCAGGGGGCGCCTCAGGGCGACTAGCCCAGGGACCTGCAGTGGGCAGGTCAGTGAACTCAGAGCTGAGCCTCCTCTGCAAAAGAGGACATTGTGAGCCAGGCACATCCATCCCATCCATGGGCACTCGGGCCTGGCATTTGGGGCCGGTGTGAATGGACTGGAGCAGGTCCTGGGATTTCCCGAATCCCCTCCGCCTCCACCTGCTGCAGGGCCAGTGACTCTCAGGGAGAGGCCATCCCCTATCAAGGCTGACACAGACTTCACCTCTGGCTCCTGCAGTGGTGCCTAGTGGGAATGTTGGCCTCTGGGGCACAGTCCTTCCCGTGTGTGTGTGTGTGTGTGTGTGTGTGTGTGTGTGTGTATGTGCATGTGTGTACATCTGTGTGTGCGTATATTTTAATGTGAAGTCTCCCAGTTTTCAAAGGCAGAAAATACTTTAAAACTGTGGGTCTAAGAGACTCCATGGCCAGCGTGAACTCTCTGAGGAAGATCCGCAAAGCAAGTCCCGAAGGCCTTCGCCAAGCAGCGGGGATGGGGGACCAGGAATAAGAACGCTGCTCCACTGCTCAGATGCAAGGTCTTGGGAACACGTGGGGCCGTGAGGACAGCCAGCTTGCCCGTCCCTGTGTCCCGTCCCTGTGTGCCTGCTCACCAGCTGTTCTCTGGCCCCTGGTGCAGCCTCCCCACGGGCCAGGCCCCAGGCTGCCGACAGGAGGCGCTCCAGCCCCTCACCTGCGGTGGGCAGCTGCCAGGAGCTTCAGGCAGGTCAGGTCCCCACTGACAGCAGCGTGGTGCAGCGGCAGGGCGCCCTCCAGTGTCTCCAGTGTGGCTGCATGGCCCTCTCGGAGCAGCCACTCCACCAGCACCGGGTGGGCGAAGCGGGCGGCCAGGTGTAGTGGGGAGACACCCGAGGCGTCTTGGTCCTACGGGGGCACAGGCAGGTGGGGAATGGGTGGCAGGTCTGGACTCACCCCGCTGGGCAGAACCCGTGTGGCCAGAGCCAGCCTGGGGTCCACTCTGCCAGGGACCCCGCCTGCTGGAAGCTTCTGCTCCCTCCTCTCCCCCTGCTCCCTCCAAGGCTAGGGAAGCCCTTTCTTCCGAGGCCACCTGCTCACAGAAAGAGGCAGGGCCAGGGCTCAAGTCCAGGTCTGGGTTAAAATCTGTGACCTGCCACGTGCAGTCAGAGCACAGTCGTGCCCCTTCCCAATCTCTGCGAGCGGTCAGAAAGGCTTCCACTTGCCCGCCAGTGACCCCTGCCAGTGCAGTGCCAGGCTTGGCGGCCTCCTGGCCTTACCAACCCCACCCCCAACCCCCACTCCCGGCCACTGAGTGCCCACCCCAGCACAGGTCCTGGCCGGAGCATTTCCACTGCGGAAGCCACAGCCTGGGGCCTTCTCCCAGGCACAGCAGGACAGGAGCACTCCCTCCCGCCTGGTGGCAGCCTCAGGCTGTGACCAGTGAGTCTTCCCTCTCCTGGGACCCGGTGGGCCCCCGATGCCCACACGGCTCTGTCAGAGCTTGCTCACAGTCTTTCCGCACAAAGGGAAATCGGATAGGAACAGGGGGAGGACAGGCCCTGGTGGAAATTCCCCCAAAAGCTCGTCCCTGAACCCTGGAGACCTCTCTTTAGCATCAGGGCCTCAGTCACGCACGGGGCTCCAGCTCCTGAGCCCAAGTGCCCATTGCACGTGCCTGTGGGCCCTTCCTAGATCCTGAGAGTCAGGCCCCAGGACCAGGCCTGATGAGAACTGGCAGGACCCCCACTGGCAAGGCCAGGCGCTCCTGTGCGGGGAGGTGGGGCGACGGGGATGCGAGGTGGTTTAGGAGGTGGCCTTGGCTTGCAAGGGCTTTGTGTTGTTGAAGGGGTGGGGGTGGGGGCAGGCAGAGACAGATTGCACAGACTGAGCTGTGGGGTTTTCATGGTGAGTCCGAGAGAGAGAAAGAGAGAGCGAGAGAGTGAGAGAGAGAGAGAGAGAGAGCGCGAGCGAGAGCGCCAGCCTAGGGCAGAGGACCTTCTAGCTCACAGCTCATCCCCCCTCTGTTCACAGGGACACTGCCTCCCTGTAGCCGTGCTCACCTGCAGACCGCAGCCCCCTTCACGCACCAGCCAGCACAGCTCAGCCAGGCTGCCGGTGGCAGCTGCGTCGTGCACCGGGGTGGCCCCGTTGTGGGCCCGCTGGTTGCCGGGCAGCTTGGCCCGCTGCACCAGGAACTTGACGCAGGCCAGGTGGCCGGCCCGGGTGGCGTGGTGCACCAGGCCAGCCCCCAGGGCGTCCACGATGCCTGGGCCCAGGGCGCCAGCCTCCAGCAGCTGCTCCAAGGTGGCCAGGTCCCCGTCCTTGGCGGCCACGAGCGCCCGCTGCTCCTCCATCCTCCTGCCCAGGCACCTGCAGGCTCTCAGGGCTCACGCACAGGCCTGGGCTTCCTGTTTCAGGCGTGGACGCAGCTCCCAGCTCTGGTTACCCGATAAGCAGCCCGCAGGGCAGATGGGAGGCGGCAGGGTGGGGGGCGGGGTGGGAGGGGGGCAGGCCTTGGGGATTGGGCCACAAGCTCTGCCTGAGCCACTCCTCTGTGCTCAGAGTCCTGGTGGGCAGAGGGCACAGGGTACAGGGGGAGGGCTCACGCTGTGTTAAGATCAGGGGCTGCGCACTGGCCAGTGGAACTGCATCTTGTTGGGCCATGCCTCTTCCTCCCGGGGGCGAGGGGGGGAGAGGGGGGCGAGGGTCGAGGAAGTGTCTCAGTCTGGCATGAACTTCCCACATAAAGCTGGAACTTAGTTACAAGATCCTCTCAAGAGGGCGGCAGGCCCCCAGCGCCTGCTCCCCGTCTGGGCAGCAGCCCTGAGCCCGTGCTGGCCTGAGAAAGCCACTTGGGAGATTTGTCACAGGAGGGCAGACCCACCTACAATGGAGCTGTTTCCGGGGAACTTACCACCAGGTGTGCTGGGGTCTAAATGCTTTGGCTCTATCGCCATACAAGGAGCCTTCCCACCTGGAAACCAATGCTGGGTCCCGGCCTCAGCTGGCTGTGCAGGGCCAGCCTTGGGCACAGGGTGGGCACTGGATAGGAAGTCCCCAAGGGAGACTGAGGGTTTGAAGGCCCCACCTCAGCCCACCCACCAACCAGTGAGAGTCTGAGGGGCTGCAGAGAAAGGTCTCAGGTGCCTATTTCAGAGCCACAAGGTGCCCTTCCCAGACCTGGAGCTGGGCACCCACAGCCTCCCTGGAGGGGACACTGCACATCGGGCACCTGCCTTCCCAGGACTTCCAGACAGTATCAGGTGACTGTGGTTTTTTTTTTGTTGTTGTTTTTTTTTTAATTTTTAAAATTGATTTCAGAGAATAAGGGAGAGGGAGATATAGAATCATCCATGATGAGAATCATCGATCGACTGCCTCCTGTATGCCCCACCCTGGAGATGGAGCCTGGGAATCAACTTGTGACCTTCTGGTTCATAGGTCAACACTCAACCACTGAGCCACGCCAGCCAGGCTCCAGGTGAATGTCATAAGCTGAAGGGAGACTGCATGGTGATGAGCTGGGGTTTCCGCACAAGCAGCTTACACTCTGGAGCCCTGAGAGGAGCGCCCACTCAGAATACACCCAATGCAGGCAATGGAATATTTTATTAGTTTTTTTATTTTATTAGTTTTTTAACAATTGTATCCTCAATGTCATTGAGTTTTTTTGTTTTGTTTTTTAGTTCTTTGAGCCTTAAAATTGCACATTAAAAGTGTGAATTAAAAAGTTGTTCCTATGTGAAGTCTGTGTGGACATGGCATTTGAAGTGTTCCAGAATCTCACAAAGCATTTGGGAGGATAGAAGAATCCTTCTGCAGGTAAAATCAGGTAAAAGCTGAGCGAGGGAGGAACTGGTTTCCACCTTGGGAACAACCCAGTCACATGGGCCTGGCCACCCCCAACTCGGTGCCCTGTGAGCTGAGACCCTGAGTAAACGATTGAGGGGAAAGACAGGAGGGCCCTGAGGACTCTGGGTGGGGAGGCCCGAGTCCTGAGGGATGGGCAGGGCTGGGTATGGGGGGACCTGGGCCTGGCCACCTGGAAAGGGCTTGACAAGGGCCCAAGGAATGGGTGCACAGGCAGACTGACGGCTCTGCAAACATGTACAGAGTGGCTGTGATCGCAGCAAAGACCAGGTTTCCTTTCCTATTTCCATGATAGTAACAATCCTATGTAATAAAATCCTAATATGCAAATTGACTGAATGGCAGAAGGACAGGTCGCTATGATGTGCACTGACCACCAGGGGGGCGGATGCTCAATGCAGGAGCTGCCCCCTGGTGGTCAGTGTGTTCCACAGGGGGAGCAACGCTCAGCCAGAAGCTGGGCTCACAGCTGCTGAGTGTAGCGGTGGTGGCAGAGGCAGCAGCCTCTCCTGCCTCCACTGCAGACGGGTGGTAAGGACCAAGGGATCCTGGACTGCAAGAAGGCACAGGCCAGGCTGAGGGACTCCCCCCAAAGTGTACAAAATTTTGTGCACCGGTCCTCTAGTCAATTATAAATACTAGGATTTCATCTTCCTGATAAAAATGCCACCTTCCATGAAGGGGGCAATCGCTTCCTAGGGGGAGTGTGGGCACAGCCAAAGTGTCTCCACTTCAACCTGGGCCACTGGACAGCAGTGACAGCGATAGGCCCATTCAGGTGTGTGTGTCCCGGGCCTTTGTGCTCGGGGGACCCGCTCCACACTGACCCATGTACAGAGAGGGAGCTGCCGCCCACCGACTCTGTAGGGAAGGCTTCCTGTGAGGTGGCCTCGACACTAGGCCTGGCCCTCCAGCCGGGCCACGGCCTGCTTCAGGTCCTGCACCACGAGGTCCACCTCGGCCCGGGTGGTGCTGCGGCCCACGCTCAGCCGGAGCGCGTTCCTGGCCACGTCGAAGGGGATGCCACAGCTCAGCAGCACCGGGGACGGCCTGGAGGGGCGAGAGACCAGCATTAGCTGTCACAGAGAAAAGACAGGGCAGAGCCTGGCCCCCTCTGCTCTTGGCCAGCTCCCCACCCCTCTGCAGGCATCCCCGGCCACCCTTCTTCCAGTCCAGCTCCAAAGCCTCCCTGGTTCTCCAGACCCCGGGCCTCTCATGCCAGGAAGTCCCACACGGTCAGTCCTCTGGCTCTCCCAGCGCAGAGCCTCAGCCCTCCAGTCCTAACACGCAGGGGTTTCCAGGGCTCGGAGACATGCAGACACACACACACACACACACACACTCACACACACACACACACACACATACACACACACACACACACACACACACACACACGGTGGAGTGTTTTGCATCCAGTGTTGGAGGCTGTGGCGTACCAAGTGTTTGGGTTTTCACAGCACACAGCACAAGGCTTTTTGCACAAGGGTCCAGCCTACATTTATGAATGGAGCCTCTTCTGAAGCTGGGTGTGTGCAGCTCGTGGGGGTCCTCAAATCCCCGAGCAGACTCTGCCTTCACAGGCCACCTACAGGCCAGGGGCCCAACAGCAAGGCAGTGTGGGCTGCTGGACTTCAGCACCTGAAACCCCAGGTCCAGGCCATCGTGTACGGGCCAGGCAGCAGGGGATTTCATCACCTCTGTACCAGCTTAGGGCCGATCTGCGGCTGACCCTGTCACCGCCGAGAGGAGGACCGTGCTGGGCAGTGACAGCACAGCTCTTCCTGGCTGGGATACCTCACTTCTGTTACAGGAGGCACCGCCACAGGGTCCCGCCTCCACCCACAGGGCAGTGGACACCTGCCTCCACGCTCTCCCCCTCCCACCCACCCAGGGGCCACACGGGACACCTGTGCCTCCTGAGCTGTGCTGCCAGCCCCTCCTCGTCCCCTCCTCCCCACCTCTGTGGCTGTTAAGATTGCAGAGTGCAGCTGCCATCTTGACCTCTCTGTCTCAGTTTCCTCAGCTTAGAAATGGGCTACTCAGATCATCCCGAGCATCATGGTGAGCATCCCCTGAGCGATGGCTCCTGAAAGCTCGGTGAGGGACACGCCCATAGGCCCTTTTCTGGATCTGAACGACCTGCCCTCGCTGCTCCTGACCTGAAGTCTGGTTGCCACACCGGGCTCCTGGGCCTAATGCCTGCCCCTCCCCACCCCTGCCGGACGGTGAGAGCTGCTGGTCAAGCCTGGCCCTGCTTCAGGCTGAGGTCCTGCCCTGCCCCGGAGGCCTGCACAGGGTCACTTTCGATGTCCCCACCGGGCGGCACAGCTCTGGGCTGCGTCCTGGAGAGCACTCACCGGTCCCCCTGGTCCGAGTGGCACGCGGCCCCCACGCTGGCCAGCAGCGTCCTGCACTGAGCCAGCACCGAGCGGCCTGAGGAGAGAGCACAGTCCCCTGAGGCGGAGAGTCCTGGGGGCCCCTCCCTGCGCCCCCCGCCCACCCAGCAGAGTGAGAGAAACCACAGGGGGCTGGGAGCAGGCTTCCTCTCCCAGGCTGTGGAGGAGCAGGCACTGTTCTGCTCACAAAACTGTCCTCAGAAATGTCGTTTCCCACCACTGTCTAGTAAGAGCGGAATTCTGATTAGCGGCCGCACTTAGTAAGTGTTGTCCTGGCAGTAAGTTAGACTTTTCTAAAGGTAGGACACTAGGCGGCTGCCCTCGTGAAGCCAGAGGCCTCCCTCTTCTTCCAGGCGGAGACGACAACAGTAACAAGCATCTCGGCCCCGCCAGTGACACAGAGTCTGCCCCGGGAAGCGGGAAAGGACAGGAACTTGGGTTCCCACAGTGACCACGCCCGGTTCCGCTGAGAAGGCAGCGCAGCCCAGGGCCTCAGTAAGGCAGCCGCGATGCTGCCCGTCCTCCGTCACCCAGGACGAAGCAGCGAGGATCTCTTCTCCTCAGCAGCGAGTGTGCCCGGAGCTGCGCTCACTCCACCTCCCAGTGAAACACGGCAGGTCACCCCTGGACTGGCCCAGGGACTCCAGACAGCTCTCTCCTTCCCTGATGGGAGCAGTGTCTCAGCAACTGGGAAACCCCTAGATTTGCACGCTTCCCTCTTCACAGCCAGTTTTCAGTTGATCTACTTTCCCTAATTTTCATAAAATATATTGTAAAATTTGCTGGAAATAAGGATGAACTAGCACTACCAGTTTGGCTCAGTGGATAGAGCGCCGGCTTGCGGACTGAGGGGTCCCAGGTTTGATTCCGGTCAAGGGCACATCCCCAGTAGGAGGTGTGCAGGTGGCAGATGATCAATGCTTTTCTCTCATTGATGTTTCTAATTCTCTATCTCTCTCCCTTCCTCTCTGTAAAAAGTCAATAAAATATATTTAAAAAGAAGAAAAAAAAGTATTAACTAGCCTAAAATGTAGTTCATTTTATCTCCTTCTTGAACCGCTTTCAGCTGGGCGTGAGGACCACTGAGCACTGCGCACGCCCTCCTCCTGGGCCTGAGCGCCGAGCAGTGGGAGAGGCAGGCCTGCGACAGCCCAGGCCACCTGGGACAGGGCAGCCGCTGTGCCTTAGCAGGCGGCCCACAGCCCCGCCCAGCCCGCCCCACGCCCGGGAGACCAGGAGCTGGGGTCATCACCTTGGAGCTGGGGTCCCCGGAAGGAGAAGTTACAGGTGTTGGGGAGCCGCTCAGTCCCCGGAAACTGGCTGTTCAGGTGGATTTTCTTCTTACCGAATTCAGCCTGAAGATGGATGAAATGTCCAGTTGGTCCGTGAGGGCTCCAAAGTCCCGCCCCGCCC